CGGACAAACTTACAACACAGGGTTTCGGGAGATGTCGACTGCTGACGGACAAACTTACAACACAGGGTTTCGGGAGATGTCGACTGCTGACGGACAAACTTACAACACAGGGTTTCGGGAGATGTCGACTGCTGACGGACAAACTTACAACACAGGGTTTCGGGAGATGTCGACTGCTGACGGACAAACTTACAACACAGGGTTTCGGGAGATGTCGACTGCTGACGGACAAACTTACAACACAGGGTTTCGGGAGATGTCGACTGCTGACGGACAAACTTACAACACAGGGTTTCGGGAGATGTCGACTGCTGACGGACAAACTTACAACACAGGGTTTCCGTGATGTATGTCGACTGCTGGCGGACAAACTTACAACACAGGGTTTCGGGAGATGTCGACTGCTGACGGACAAACTTACAACACAGAGTTTCGGGAGATGTCGACTGCTGACGGACAATCTTACAACACAGGGTTTCGGGAGATGAAGGCAAATTTTGTGGTCGCCATCATGATCTCCCCGGGAAACATTACATTTCCTTGTGACATGAAGGTCTATGGTTTGATTATGGTCATAGGTGTGTCTTGTTCTTTCGTTTCCACATTTCTGGTTCCCTCTTGGATGAGGACATGACATCACTTTGATTTAGAGAAGATGAAGCAGAAGACGCTTACCCCTCCGGAACACTTGTTCTCATTATACCTTATCAAGGGTGTACATGTAAATATTTACTTGTTCATATTTTGTTTTAATTATTTTCGATTTTGAGTTCAAACAAATATAATTGGCACTTTGGTATGATTTTTGTATCTTTTTTTAACAACGCAGAATATTGCAAGGCATGTACTTGAATACCAAACCTGGTTACTCAAGCTGAAATAGTACGGAAGATATGACCCAGACAAACATTTTAGATGGACGGAATTGGGTACAAATCTCTAGTCCCGACCCCCACCTCCAAGGTGAAAAACAAATCCCACTTGGTTTTGTTACTCCAGTAGAATTATTTGGTCAATCCTCACGTGTAATAAGAAGAACATACGACTGGAAATTTAAAAATAATCCTTTTAATTTGTGAATCACAGTTAGTATTGAATCGTAAGGTACACGTGCAGATCTTTACATGTAGTGAGTTTATGCAAGTATATAGTACAGCGTTCCCAGCACTTTTTAACACAGCACATTTATACGGGAAAATGTCATCCTTACAATCTTCTAAATAATACATATATATATATATTATCTCCATCTATTGCTCACCATAGAGAATTAAGCAATGCCTTTCACACAGACCATTCAGGCTAAGCATAATTCTTTCAAATCTTAAAATGAAACAGTTACAAATTGCCGTTACAGACATCTGACAAACTTCTCAGATGATGTCAATAATTCACATTTCAGTTGATAGATGATACCTACATACTGTGGTACAGAATCAATTGGAAAGCAGATAGACAGTGGCCTTACACAACAATGCATGTAAATGACAAGAGAGTCCTTGAAGGATGACCTTTTATACATTCTATTTCGGGAGGGGGAAGCAAACATGACGCTTTATGAAATATTTATGTATATCATTGTATATATTATATAGCTTTGTCAAAACGCCATCAGGGAAAATTATTTGTTGACATTGGAATTCTAAAACACCAAATTTAAAATTGCAAGTGTCCATACAGAAAGTGTGTTGCCAGCGAACAACTGTAATACTGTCGAAGAACTCTATTCAGCCTGGCCATCAGTAGTTTATTCCAAGACCCATTTCCGAGGCCATATCATGTTTAAAAATCTAAGCTTCTAAGACAGAAAGTATATTTCAGGGCATATTTTAAGCTATTTGATACTTACAACACATACTCACCTTAACTGACTTACGAAGCAAACTGAGAATTTAATGTCTCCGAGCTCTCTTTCTTGATCTCATCAGCACACTAGTCTATCTTGTCCGAAGGCATTGCTAAATAATTAAACCTTCAATTCTCAACCCCTTCTAGATACAACAGCTGAATGGATGCTGACTCTTAGAACGAAGCCTTAGAAAATGCAAGTGCCTGTGGGCGGTCATTCAGTAATCAATTACTAAGTTTATGGCGAGAAGATAAAGAAGATAAATGTATGGTAGATTCTACTAAAGTTACCTAGTAGGGGTGAAAGGGTTAAAACCTATGTTTCTGCACATTTTGCGATCTGGAAACAGTGACAACAAAGGCTCCATAACATTTTCCTTATCCACCACTAATACTTAACAGTTATCTGATATCTATTAATCTTCACAATTACCGATATCTATAAATAGATAAAACCATAATTAATGTAAAAAACGTGTTCCCATTTTCCGGTATCAACACATGTACATGAGGTACATGCACAATATATTTTCTGCAAATAAACACAACATCTTTCATTAACATGTGACAATTTTGTATGAAACTTTCAATTTGAATTCACAAGCAATTCATGACATAAAGAATGTTAATCATATCATTAATTAATAAAACCGAAGTTTGTTACTCAAAATATGTATCACCAAACAGATTAAAGAAAAGAACATCTTAAATTTCATGATTTCTTTAGGAATTTGTTTATGGTAGGTAACAACTGAAACACCTAAAATCTAAATTGAATCATCAGTTACCAAAATTTGTAATTTGAGAGATGATCTAATAAAAAAAAAGTTACATATTTGTTAGTGTAGTATCAAATACTTTCATTATGATATACACTGTTACATCATTTATTATTCTAATAAACATTACTTTCATCTCCTTATGAATCACAGTAAGAAAAATTTCGTTCATCTCCTTATGAATCACACTGGGTAACATTACTTTTATCTCCTTATCAATAATACTTTTATCACATAACGTTCATCTCCTTATGAATCTTAGTAGGTAGCATTACATTTATCTCCCAATGAATCACACTAACATTGTTTTCATATTCACAGCACACAACAGTGGTGGTGTTGTGTTAGATAGTTCAACAAACATGAACCTCCCATTTACATTCATTTCCTTATAATTACACCAGCTAACATTACGTTCACAATCTCATTAATCATACTATGTAATATTACATTCATCACCTGATAAATCAAGCAAGGTAGCGTTACTTTCATCTTATGAATTGCACAAAGTAACAGTATCTTTATCTGTTCCTGTATCAAACTCAGTAGTAGTATCACACTCATTTCTGTACGATTCACGCTGGGTAACGCTATGTTCATCTCCTTATGAATCACCCTAGATAACATAATGTTCATCTCCTCATGAACAACACAAACACTGCTTTCATATCCGTATGAATTACCCTTGTATTGTGTCGATGGATCAACAAACACTAACCAACAATTTACTTTTATGTTTTCTATGACAATGTATAGACTTTTAGATTGTCTTTATCTACGTACCGCTGTCATACGATATTCTGTATCACCTCTCAACAGCCCTCTGTCTATTGCACCAATTCTATGGAAGCCATAACATCTCACCCAACGAGCCATTACACTATAGACTAGGTACATAGTAGCACTCCTAATGGAAGTCAAGTATTGTAGGTGTTTCTTCGGTTACGAACATTACACAATATATTTGAGAAAGTAATAAATACATGAATACACAAGTTTTCCACATTGCCATGATTTTAGCACGTTGTTTGGTTGTTGCACATGGTGAAGCACATACTGGCATAACACAGGTGAAATGTCTTGAAACACTACTGTGTCCATAGCGATAAGAAAATCTGAAAGTACCGTAACGTAAAACTAATTGTAAGTGTTGCACGATTGTTTTGATTGTCCTGTGAGCTAGTCAGTTTTGAAGTGAAGTGTTGGTGTTGGTTTCCAGGTTACGGTTGCCAGGGTTACAATGTGTCTGTCGGTGTACGAGTAGGAGTGCCCTTGCCAAGTCGCTTCAATAACGGCCGGTCATACACCCAATGTTCGCCTACTTCATGGAATTGCTGAAAATATACAAAAACAATCAGTACACAGCCATTTGTGGGATAAATTCATAGGCTACCTAACATCAGACTTTTACTGTGTTTTCACTTATTTTGTTTCAATGGATGCAGGTGAACTGCAAATATTTTTTACAGTGAAAATGTCAATTTAACTGTCAAAACCGAATTCCAAATAATTATTAATCAGCAGACCACGAAAATCTGCATCTATGAAAACATTCCTCAACATCAAATTGTGTGATGTAGTTACTGGAGGTATTCTTAAAGCCAACCTAAGGGAACAAATGATAGCCAGAACCATAACATTGTACTGTACCTTGGTTTCCACTTTCAGTCCTTGTTCCTTTCTTTCTTTGGCCTCTGTTCTTTGGCGATGTTCCAATTTATGTTTAAATTCTGTTGCAACTTCTACATTTTTCTGCTTTAGAAACCTGGTAACTTGTTCCCATAACCTAGAAAAGTAAATTCGTCCTCAACTTTACAAATATTTTGTTGTATACCTTCTTATATAGTACATGTTTTTCAGCAGGAACAAAATTGCTACAGAATGCCTAATGTACAAAACTGCCGGGTAAGGTATTGTTTTGGCCTGTAATCTTTTAATCATTAATCTAAAATAAAATGCCTTCCAAAATGACTTAAAGATTTCCAGAGCTTAAGACAAAGACTGCATGATCCGTCATTCAAAATTAGAGAAAAACATCTTTGAATTGTACCTGTCTTTCACGGGTATAGGTATAGGATAAAACATTAGAACTCATCTCTATCACTATCACTGACTGAACAGAATCATGAAAGGGCTAGATGCATCCTTCTCCCACAAAAGAGCATGCCCCTATCTATATATGACACTGATTTCTCCCACCCTTCACAGTCGTGTCTCTGGTTTTAGCCAGGAAAGATCAGCTTGTCACCCACTAGGGGGAGAAAGCCTCATGCCGATTAGCATGTGTTCAATTGTGACGTCATAAAGATGTGTCACCGGTAATTGTGACGTCATCAAAAGTGAATGTTGATATTCATACTGCACATGTGTTTTTGTTTACACTACTGACGGTGGAGTTGTGACTGAAATAATAGTATGGGAGAAAAATGATCATTCCCTGCCTTAAGGGTGTAACAGAGAAATCTCCAACCCTCGGAGTGATATTTGGGTTGTCTTAACCCTTGGCAAAGCCTCGGGTTAAACAACCAAAAAACATCACCCCTCAGGTTAGAGATTTCTCTGTCACACCCTCAAGGTAGGGGAAGATTCTATTTATCACCTGCATTCAAGGCAAAACAAAGTTATCAGACTTATCTCCTTAATTCCAGAAATATTCTGAATGTGATTTTGCATATGACAAATTAAAGTGTTAAAGGGAAGATTCTAAAAACCTTAAATCCCTCAACCTCTACTGTAGTACCAGATATTTGAGTAAGCTACTTACTTTCTAGATTCAAACTCTGATTGAGTATCTAATGGTTTCACCCGTTTCTTCACAATGGCCATCCTCTTTGTGTCCACAAATGCCTCGTTTTTCTACAAAACAAAGTAGAATAATAATTAATAATGATAATAATTTCTTTTATTTAGACAGGGCAAGATATTTAGACATTTGTCTAGTCTACAATATGGCCCTGTAAAACACACATAATATAAACATATTACATATACAATATGGACGATTAAAAACTGACATGTAAAAAAAGTTATATACAACAGAATAAAACAAAACATGTAAGATATCACCTAGTTTATTAAATCTACATTTATATAACACTGAAGACTATGACAAGCAAATATAAAACAAGTTGAATAATATCAGTACATTGACCTAATATCACTTATATCATAGTAGGGTAAATAAAACGAAAGTTAGCACTAGCAGAAAATACAGGTAGTCTAAGTAAGTAAGTGATCAGGCTGTCACCTACCAACAAAACTTTCTAGGCTGTCTACCAGCGCTAAAGTGGCGTCGGGGGACGGAAGAAGTAGAAAAGAATTGTCCTGGCAGAGATAAGCATGGGCAAGCAAGTGATTGGGAAACTCCCACCACCAAGACTTGCCAGATCGTCTACCAGCATGGAGCGACAGGGAAGTAGCATGGCTCGAGCGGACATTGACCAGTGTCTATCTGTTACCTGAGACAAGCTGTGCGCTCATGTTTATGTTTTACTTGTTTAGAACTCAAGGTTGAAATTATCACAAATATGAAGACCAAGATATGTTTCTGGTAATACATGTACAGATAATACCTAAACAGAAGTGGACACTGACCATTTTCTAAAGTATATGCAAAAAATACTGCATTTTCTTTTTTATATAAATAGCATAGACATTATTCCATGATAATTAGTTTCATTGAAAAAAACACCATACAAAGGTAATTGTTATAATTAATTTTGACAAAGAGGCTATTAAACAAGCGTACCAGTTGTTATTTTGAACAATACTTGCAAAAGCAAAGCTAACTTACTGAATTGTAACTTTATCAGTGTGACCTATAACTACCTGTATTCAATAAATTGAATAAAACACTATATTAGGCTCATAATAAACATGGTAAACCAAAGTAGAATGTGATTCAGAGTACATACACCCGACACTGCCCAATGTCATTTTTAACATTGAATCACAACATTATAAGACTCTTTCATGCCCAAGGGTGTAGAATATATAGGGATGTCCCACCTGAGGGGTTTTCAAATTTGTTAAAACCCAAGACTTTGCCGAGGGCTTTTCCAATTTCCAAAACCCTGAGGGTAAAATTTCCCTATCCTTGGGCTTGAAAGAGTATAAGCTCAGAAACTATGAAAATGTGGACTGGCTATCATTTGAAAATATCAATTTTTCCCCCTGATCTTTTTTGACGAAAACGAATTTGTCAGCGAGATTTAGTATACCCCATATTTGCAAACAGAGTTGCGCAGAAAAAATAATCTCATCTTTCCAACATGTACGGTAAATATATCGTAAAAGGTTTTAATTTCATCACTTTGCCTTTTCCGCATTGCGGCATCAGTGTTTTCCGAAATCGTGATGTCACATCATTGTTGAGCCATTGTGACATCACGCCCATGTAAGATAGATTCAGCAAGCATGGCTATTTTACATGGCATGCATTATCTTACATGACCGGATACAATAAGAAAATTTCTCATACCTCTCTTACACACACAGAAATGAGAGCATAATAGTGTCTGTAGATTGCTTTCTTAAGTCAAATATCTATCTTACCCCAGAGCTATATTTGGCATACATCACTCCATTCCATTCACCATCAATCGACACGATTGCATTCTTCTTGTCCGTCGGTGAGTAAATGTGCCCGGAGATCTGGTGTTTCTTGCCTCCATAGAATGGCTGTACAAACACAACCATATACTATACATGCTATATACAGTACAAAATGTGCTTGTGCATTTGACACTAACCACAATTATCCATCAATTCTGGATTCTATAATCAATTATTATGTTTACCTCATTGATTTAACCCAAAAGCTTTTCTTTTCATTTTGTAAAATAAAGATATACAGTTATCGTTGCAAAGGATATTGCCTGGTTGTTTAAATTCACTGAATGATTTTGTAAAATTCATGAAATTATCATTTTGTTTTAATTTAATTTTTCTCTTACAGAAAGATAATAAGGCTTTTCATGGAACAGACTTTGAGGACAAAACTGATATCTTTTTCTTTTAATACTTTTCCCTTTTTCTTCCCTCGTCAAGTGTAAAATTGCTTTCATAACATCTGTTCTTTATTTGGTATATTTAGTTTCTAGAATATTAACATTAGTAAAATTCATGGATATTATTGTCACAAGAAAGTATAGAGCAAGTGCCGGGGAGGAGAAACAGAATATCAAACTTTTAGCATGGACAGGCTTTTCAAAGAACAGGCTTCGGGGAAAAGTATATACTTATAAAAATACATGTGTTTCTAATTTGCTCTACATTGTGTATTTTGCTATGTGAAGCTAAATAACTGGAATTCCATTGATGATTATTACATCACTGACTATAACAATGTATTGTATGTTGTGAACTTAAATTCGCTGTTATGATAAATTCGCCGTCAATGGGAAGGGCAAAAAAGGCAAAAGTAAACTGTGGCGAAAACTTCCCGGTATACAATATAATTGTAATAATGTGCAAAAACAAACCTTTGTATGGAAATCTACGTTGGCCGAGTATCCTGTTTTGGCACAGGAAATTGTCACTTTGCCTCCTAACTCCACCCAGGGCACTGTGAGGATGGACCTACAACAATGATTGTCATATCTTAATGTGAACCCAAAAGGTGTTCCTCTTTAATTTGTCAGACAATCATATCATCTGCTATCTGTATTACTGAAATTCATTAAACCATAGGCAATATGATACGACTCTTACCTGCCATATCCGTTGGGGAAGGTGATAACATACTCCTCGTCATGGTCGATAAGGGACACGACCGCTTGTCCAATCATGTGAACACCAATTGACAGCCCGAGAAACTTGGACTTTGTCCAAATGTATCCATCCAATGAAATCCGTTTATTGTAGTGTTCCGCATAGAATGCTGAAACTGAGAACAACACCGAAGATGATGAATCATTTTTTCACGAAAGTAATAATCTTTGAAAAGGGGGAAAAGCATGTGCCGTGTGAATCCCTCACTCCAACAAATTATTCTAATCAGCTGTGTCAATATTTTGCACGATTAAAAAAATGAATTCTATCATTATTGAGTTTACTAGACTACAACACAGCAGATATGCAACAGAAACACAAGACGATATTTTTGAGTTTTGTCATAGACTTCAATAGTAAATACTATCAGAATATGTTTTTGTATAATTTTCAGTACTTCTGCGTATGACTACACAGTGGACCACATCTGCACTGCATGATTAAAAAAATATCAGAACATTTGATAATTTCGGTAATGTTAGTGTATAGCAATACAGGCAAACAAAACAATTTGATATGATATACAAGAAAGAACCGCGATCACTACGATACGATAAGATATGATATATGGTTGCAGCCCCAAGAGACACAAACACGATCCTGTACTTACTAGGCGGGTGATGGGACACCTGTTCTGATATGAATGCTAAGTTTTCTTTAGATGACCAAGGAACTGGACCATCGTCTGCTAGGTCCTGTCAACAGATCAAAGGCAGTGTGTATTTTATATTTATTCAGCAAGAATGGGATTTATAGCTACAGCGATATTTCAATCTGTCAATCAGGTACACCTGCACTGCTTTTTAGACCTCCGAGTAAACCAGTTCTACCCGGGAAACAGATATGATGGACATGTTGGATAAAGGATATTTCAGTACAGGGACATTCTACTGAAGGAGCCATTCGGACTGATATGTCTCGCCTATTCCCCGCTTTGACCATCAATGCACATATCAGAAAAACTAACTTAAACGCAAAAACTTAATGTTGATTGAGATGCTGACAAAGTCGATGGACCATGAAAGGTAGGCTGCATCCAGGATTTGATGCATGGGTCGAGATGTACTACTTCAGATGCAGCTATGGTCCAAGTTTGGTTGGATAGCACTTATACCTTTAGAGAAACTAACTTAAATGCAAAAACTTAATGTTGATTGAGATGCTGACAAAGTCGATGGACCATGAAAGGTAGGCTGCATCCAGTATTTGATGCATGGGTCAAGATATATTACTAAAGATGCAGCTACGGTCCAAGTTTGGTTGATCTAGCACTTATACTTTCGCCGGAAAAGCAACACCTAAGACAACAAGAGCTGTTGGAGAACAGCATAGCTCGCCTATTGGTGATTTATATTGTAAAATAGCAAATATCAATAGAAACCAATGTAGAGTAAAACCTTGATATAATGCATGCCCGTCATTTCATTTGCCACCTTACTTACCGCCAACATATTTTCAGGTCCCTTAGTTATGTTTTACTTAAGAATTCCTTGTACGTTTATAACACCAACATTTCTTTGAACAAATGATGGCAATATAACAAGGTTTTGCTGTACCTTAACATGTAAGAAGAGATGACCAGCCAACGTGAAATAGTCAACAGCGTATTGATCATGGTGGCCGGTCCAATACTGCACAAAAAAACTTGCCCAAAAACTTTAACCAAGTCCAACCAACCAGTTTTGGCCCCTTAAATAACCAAAATACAATTCAGAACATTGGTTATACTCCAACTTTATAATAGGTAGGCATAAGCCTATTGATTGTGATGATCCGACACTACGCAAAAAAACTTGCCCAAAAACTTTAACCATGTCCAATTAAGCTGTTTTTGGCCCCTAAAATATGAAAATATGGTTCAGCAAATTGCTTACACTCCATATAAATACTTCAACCTTATTATAGACAACAGTCTATTGATGGTGGTGATCCAACACTGCCTGGAAAAAACTTGACTTCATTAGCCCCCCCCCCCCCCTCC